GGGGGCCCGTACCGGGCCTCGGGAGCGGCAAAAAACGACTCAGGACGAAGAGCCGGTCCCGGGGAAGGGGTCCAGACCTCTGGGGGTCGACGTCGTGAAAAAATCACGACGTCGGGGGTCTGGGGAGGTCATGGACCCAGTTCTTCGTCCAGACCTCTGGGGGTCGACGTTGTGAAAAAATCACGACGTCGGGGGTCTGGGCCGTGCGGTGGGTCGGTGGGGATTCGGGGTCACCGCACGGCTCTGGGGCTCGAGGCCCTCTCCGAGGGCGTCTCGGGCGATGGGGGCCGCCGAGGTCCCAGACAATCGTGCGGCGACCCCAGACCCCCGACGTCGTGATTTTTTCGCGTCCCGAGTCGTTTTTTGACGCTCCCGAGGCCCCGGCAAGGGCCCCCAGAGGCCGAAGACAGCGGAAATCCTGCCGTCGTGATTTTTTCACGACGCCAGGAGGTCTGGGACGGGACCGTGCGGTGAGGTCTCTTGGGGTTCCGAGGTCACCGCGCGGTCTGTCACCGCACCGCTGCGTGACTCCAGAGGTGCGGGCGCGAGCTCAGGGGGGGGCCTGCCCTGACCTTCCAGGAGGGCTAAAAAATAGCACCCGACGTAAAAACCTATCCCAGAGCTATTTTACGTCTTGGTTTTAGGCTGTTTCGTCTCGTTTTTTAGGTTTTTAGGTTTCCAGTGCTAAAAAATAGCTCTCTGGAAGGTCAGGGTGAAGGCACCCTCTCGGGCCTCACAGGGCCCCTCTCGGGGCCCCAGAGGGCCCCTTTTTTGCAGCCCTCGCCGCCCCCCCACTGATCGCGGAGTGAAGCGGCGCAGGCGCGCAAGGAGGGGTGAACCATCGGGTGGGACACTGCGCTGGCTAACCGGGGCGCCTGCGAGGGGCGGGGTGGGGGGAGGGGGAGGGCGGGGGGGAGGGGCGCAGGAGGAGGAGGGGGGGGGAGGGAAGTGGGGCGGGAGGGGGTGGGCCAGTGGGGGACAGGGGGAGGGACGGGGAGGGAGGGGGCAGCAGGAGCAGCAGCGGGAGCCCGTTGCGGACGCAAGAGGCGGGGAGGGAGGGGGACAGAGAAAGGGGAGGAGCAGGACCAGAGTAGACCAAAGACGCGTTCGCGATGCGGCAGTATTTAAGAGTCGGGCCTGTCCCTCTACAGGAGGAATATTCAAAAATAGTCAAATAATAGTTGTGGGACGATTATTTTAACCACTTTTGGCTATTTGGGAATGTTTATTGAGTTGTTTAATGTTCATCTAACATCGGCCTGTAGGGGGACAGGCCCGACTTAAGGCAATCTATTCCCGTCCCGTGCCCCCGCCTCACACGCCCCCACAAGCCCTCCCTGTTTACTGCGAGGAGCACCGTTGGGCCTGCCATTTTTTGGGGGGCCTCGCTTTTAATTGGAACGTGAACTACGTACACCTTAGGCGATGCTTAAGAAACTTGAGTTTTCGGCCAGAGTCTCGATTATTCTTAACTTTTCAATGTAAATCACAAGATTTGGATAGAAGTTCTGGATGTTATTCAATTTCTGAGACTATGAATTTCTTAACCCATGATTTCTAAAGCATTTCGCAGGGTGTACCCCGCTTTCGCTTCCAGGCACAGACAAGCCGTACCACGCGCCTCCTCGTCAAGCGGCCTGACCAGTGCAGGCTGCAGTTTGGCATCGTTTGGTATCTCTTGGAAGCGAGGGTGGTCAAAAGCGAGGTGGGTTTGTTTCCCCCCTCCCAGACCCCCGACGTCATGATTTTTTCACAACGTCGACCCCTAGAGGTCTGTCTGGACCCCTTCCCCGGGACCGGTTCTTCGTCCTGAGTCGTTTTTTGACGCTCCCGAGGCCCGGTGAGGGCCCCCGGAGGCCGAAAATAGCGAAAACCCCCCCGTCGTGTTTTTTTCACGACGCCAGGAGGTCTGGTCTGTCTAAAACAGGAATTGCCTTGCATGCTTCTGGCGCGTGATCACCTGCGCGATCGTGCAGCTGCACGGGGTGTCCAGCGATGTTCCCTTCTCAGAAGCAGGACCGCCCCCGCGTCCGTGCAACTGGTGCGCATGTCTGTCGGGAGGGAAAGAAACACAAAGACACAACGAATCGTCGATTCCCCAGAAAATGTAGGAAAATATTTGAAAATATGGGAAAATATGGGAAGACAGAAACCCAGAAAATATGGGAAAAGTATGGGGAATCCTGTTATTTGTTTGTGTTTCTTCAGTTTGACACTGTTGTCATGCGCTCCGATGAAATTCCACGCGACAGCTCTGTGTTGTCGAAATCGCCCTGGGTCCATGCAGCGCCACGTGCGTTGAAGTGTCGGGTCTTCCAGCTTTGCGAAGTCTCAGGCGATAATTCCTTCAAAAGGGCAGCCCTCCATCCTCCGTAGCCATTTTGGCTCAAGATGTGTGCCCGAGAGCGAGGGGCTTTGCCGCGTGCCGTTCATGCGTGGATGGCGATCTAGATTATAGCTCCGCGAGCTCACATCAGAGTGTCCAGAAATTGCGGTCCGAATGGACCCCCCCGCCTCCTTGACAGTTTTTGCTCGCAGGCAGTCGGCAGACTCCGGTGCTGACTCCGATGCGTACGATGCGCCTCTTGTGGAGAAGCGCGCCGAGTCTGGCGGGCCATACGTGCTTGGATGCTTGCCGTTTTTCGTGGTGAACATCTTGAAGATGAAGGACGCAGAGAAGATTTGTTCGCGTTCACATTGCATCGGTCCCGTCATCAAGCTAGCAATGTGGTGCCCGCTCGTGCATGCATCTGTGATGTTCTGTTTCATGGGGGTGGGTCTCCTGCACATGTCGTGCCAGAACAAGAACGGGGGACCGCTTAGCAAGCCCGAGTGGTTCTTGCCGGCCGGGGCCAGCTGCATCGCCCTGATGTTGCTCGAGGTGTACATCGCGAAGTATTCGAGCATCTTGTGCACCGACAAAGCCAGCAAGCAGTTTGGAAAAAAACACGAGAACGAGAAGCGCCCAATAGGGCTTAGCCACTGCCCAGGGTGCCGCATCCAAAAGGAATCGAAGCCAGGAGGCCCGTTGTCTGATCCCGAGGCCGGAGGTGTACTTGAGTGCCGCCACTGCGGGAAAACGTTAAGGCAGGGCCGTCTCCCGGTAGGATGGCCATGCATGCCGGTTACTGTGATTGACGCCTTGCTGTCCCGCTGCTGCTTCTCTGGAGTCCGCGCCAGGTGGCACGAAGAGCAGGAGAAGTTGTACTTCAACGTGTGGTTCCTCTGGCTCTTCGTACTGGGGACGATAACCGTGTACGGGCGGCTCCAGGCGAACACCTTCCTGGGGATGGTCCTCTACGGCTTCCTGACTGGCAACCGCGCCAAGGCCACGGACCAGATCTGGAAAGAGACGTTGAGCCAGTCGTATTTCATACGACACTTCCACTTCCCGCTCGAGGCGATCCTCCTCGCGATGGCCGTCGCCCAGATCTGCCACTACGCGTTCGGCGTGCTGAGCTACTGCCCGCGCTGGGCGTGGAAGACTGCTGCCCACAAGCGGTGGCAGTACGGGGAGAACGGCGGGCTCGGCAGGTGGTCGCCCTGGGGCAGGAGCTTTGAGTTCGAAGTCAAGGGGATCGAGAAAGACAATAAACAGATCACGGACATGTCGAGGTGGCAGCAGTGGATGGATGGATTCGAGGGCGCAACCGCCATGGTCACGACGTCGAGGGCGAGTAGTGCAAACGGCAAGGATGTCTTCATCACGGTCCCCAGAGGAGGTCCTGCGAAAGCCGGTGAGGTCGAGTACACCCCCTCTGATGCAGACTTCCCGATTTCCGTGGAGTGGACAACCAACAGGCACGCGTACACCACCTTGTTCGGCGGGGAGATGACGTCATCCACGGTCATGGACGTTATCGCGGAGTGCTGTAGCATGGGTATCTTGTTGGAGATGCAGTGCCTTGAGCTCCACGAACACGCTAAGGCAGCTGGCCTTCTCACCAAGTACCAAGGCGAAGGTAATCCCACGGAGAAGATGTCTGGCGAGCTCATCCAGGCTGTGCGACCGCTCATGAACAGCGCTGTCAACATAACGAGATGTGCTTTCTCGCGGGTGTTCATTTACGGCGTCTGCTTCTGCGGCACCAATCTGCACTTCCAGACCACTTATGCGAATGTACTTTGTGTGAGCTCGGCGTCGGAGTCGTGCAACGGCGCTAAGGCGCTCTGGGTCGGCATCGGGGCGGCATTTGTGTCGATGCTCCTCGTGTTGGCGAAGATAGTTTCCATTGCCAAGTATCAACGTAATGTGTGGGCCATCTACTCGCGCTACCAGAAAGTTCTCAAGTCCGAGCACGCTGGACTGCATCAATTCAGCAGTTTCCAGGGGCAGATCCAGGCAGCCAAGTGCAGACTGGTCCTCCTGTCCGCGCTGCTGTTTTCATCGTCTGTCCTGTTCGTCTGGATCTTTGTGTGGTTGCTTTTCAAGTGGTATATGGAGACATTTGTCTGCGAAAGCCGAATGTGGAATATCCCCGCCAAGCTGGACATGACGGACATTATGAGTGGCTGTGTCAATCTCAACTAGCAGGTAAAAGGCCAATGAGCCAATCATTTTCCTGTGTTTCACGTGCGTCTGGCAGCGCGCTAGAACTAGGGTCCAGTGCGTCAGATGGCACGTCAGGACTGGCATGTCAAGACCCGAATGACAAACACGTGAGGCCAAGGAACTCGCGCGTGCGTCTCGGGAGGTCGGGCAAGGCCCCACCACGCTCGCAGAAGGCGCCTGCGCACCACTATGCCCCTGTGTGTAATTCTGTAAAGACCCATGAGCTGAAGTGTACGTACTCCAGGTTTCGTAATAAAAGGGAGGGGGTCTGGACCCTCCAAGACAAGCCATTTCAGACCTCCCCCGTGGGAGAACCCTCCAAAACATCGTCCCCAGACCCCCCCCAGGCCCTCCAAGATAGCCTGGAAGAGCCCCCCCCCCGAAATGAGACCCCCTCCCCCCCCAAAAAAGGGCAGCCCGCCATCCTTTGAGACGTGCTTCTCAGATACGAGTGCACGCGGCGCCGAGGCGAGAGCCCCCATTTTGAAACGGGCCAGTGCTCAAGGCAGGAGAGGAGAAGGAGGAGAAGGAAAGCGAGACAGAGGAGGAGGAGGAGGAGGAGGAGGAGGAGGAGGAGGAGGAGGAGGAGGAGGAGGGAGGAGGAGGGGAGAGGAGGAGGAGGAGGAGGAGGAGGAGGGAGGAGGAGGAGGAGGCCGAGAAGGAGGATTCGTGGCGCCGAGGCGCGGGCCCGCTTTGAGAAGGGACCGCCCCTCATCCGTGAAGCTTGCGCGACCTTTTAAAGACGAGTGTGCGCGGCGCGGAGGCGAGAGCGCCATTTTGAAAACGGGCCTCCCATCCTCCTCCTCCTCCTTCTCCTCCGCCCTCCTCCTCCTCCTCCTCCTCCTCCTCGGAGCCGAAGCCCCCGGGGGGAGTCTTCAAAAGAGCTAGCATTTCTTTTACCAGCCTCGAACTTGAACTCATCCCTATCCCTAGGCCCAGACCTCCTGGCGTCGTGAAATAAATCACGACGGGAGGTTTTTCGCGATTTTCGGTCCCCGGGGGCCCTCCCCGGGCCTCGGGAGCGTCAACAAAACGACTCAGGACGAAGAACCGGTCCCGGGGAAGGGGTCCAGACCTCTGGGGGTCGACGTCGTGAAAAAATCACGACGTCGGGGGTTTGGGATTCCAGAACCTGGTTCAACTATTTAAGACGCGTGCGCGCGGCCGTTCGGCGAGAGCCGCATTTTGAATACGAACCACCGTCCGTCCCTGACACCGATGCAAAGGTGTCTGGCGAATCTGCGCGGTGCTATGGCGAGAATCACATTCCATAACATTTGTACAGGCACATGCGGGCGGCGCTGTGGCGAGAGCCACATTCTGAAAACGGCCCGTGCTCCATCCGTGAAGCCGCTGTGCACTTTCAGAACGAAGTTGCGCGGCGCTCGGGCGAGAGCCACACTTTGAACGCGGCCTTTCTCCATCCGTGAAGCTGTCGCGTAGTCTCAGGGCGACGGTGCGCGGCGCCAGTGCGAGAGCCACTTTTTTTCGGAAGCCACCCCCCCTTCCACCCGTGAAGCTGCTGCAGACCTCAAGCTTCAGAACCATACACCTCAGGCGATGCTTAAGAAAACTTAAGTTTTCGGCCAGAGTCTCGATTATTCTTAATTTTTCAATGGAAATCCTAAGACTTGAATGGACATGCTGGGTTTTTACTCAAGTTCTGAGACTATGAATTTCTTAACCCATGATTTCTTAAGCATTTCGCAAGGTGTACGTGGCGAGGAAGTCCCAGGCGAAACGCCGGGCATGCCCTGTTGGAACGTCCGGGAGTGCGACCCGGAGTCATTCATGAGGAACCGGGGTGGAGGAGGCAATGGCCAGCGTCAACGCTCGGAGGCGCAGGAAAGAGACCAGAAGAGAGTATACTAACAGTAAGGCTCATGATGATGATGATGATGATGATGAGGATGAGGATGAGGATGAGGATGATGATGATGATGATGATGATGATGATGATGATGATGATGATGATGATGATGATGATGAGGATGATGAGGATGAGGATGAGGATGAGGATGAGGATGAGGATGAGGATGAGGATGAGGATGAGGATGAGGAGGAGGAGGAGGAGGAGGAGGAGGAGGAGGAGGAGGAGGAGGAGGATGGCTGCGGGAAGGTTGGAGGGGGAGTAAGGGGCGAAGAGGCTGGATGATGGGTGATGGTCACGGGTTGCGGATGATCGGTGGTGACGACGGTCGTGGTGGTGGGTGAGGATAAGACGAGGATGAGGAGGATGATGTAAACGAGGATGTTGTTGATGTTGATGTTGATGTTGATGATGACGATGCCGATGCTGATGCTGCTGGGGATGATGATGACGATGACGACGGCCACCGAGGCCCTCACGACGGCCTCGGAAGGCGCCAGACGCCAGACGACCCAGGAGCTACCCCAGCCAGCCCCGTGCAGCCCCCAGATGGCCGAGTGGGCCCCGGGAGGCCCCCAAGGAAGCCCAGATACCAGAAACACTTTTTTGATCCGCGGGTCGAGGGCGCACCTCTTCCGGTCGAAGCTAAGCGGGCCGCGCGAAGCTTGAATTAAACAGAGATGGGGGAGGAAAAGGGGGGCGCAGCCTCAGAGCGAGGCCGGAATGAGGCAAAGCCTCGGAAGCCATACACTCCAGGCGATGCTTAAGAAAACCTAAGTTTTCGGCCAGAGTCTCGATTATTCTTAATGTTTCAATGTAAATCCTAAGATTTGAATAGACATGCTGGGTTTTTATTCACATTCTGAGACTATGAATTTCTTAACCCATGATTTCTAAAGCATTTCGTAGGGTGTATACCAGAAGCACATGCAACCACAAGACGGCCCTCGAGGACCCATGCAGCCCCCAGATGGCGGAGTGGGCCCTCAGACGGCGGAGTGGGCCCCAGGAGGCCCCCAAGAAAGCCCAGATGCGGAGGCGCGAGGGCGCGGGGCGGGCGCCGCAGGGGCGGGTTGCGAGAGAGATGGAGGAGGAGGAGGAGGAGGAGGAGGAGGAGGAGGAGGAGGAGGAGGAGGAGGAGGAGGAGGAGGACCTCCTCGCGGGACCCGCCACCTTTCGTCGCTCATGCGTCGGGCGCGAGCCCAGGGCAGGAGCGGAGACCGGAAGAGGAGGAGGAGAGGAATGGGAGGAGGAGGAGGGAGGAGGAGGAGGAGGAGGAGGAGGAGGAGGGGGAGGAGGAGGTGGAGGAGGAGGAGGGGGAGGAGGAGAGGGAGGAGGAGGAGGGAGGGGGAGGAGAGGAGGAGGAGGAGGAGGAGGAGGAGGAGGAGGAGAGGAGGAGGAGGAGGAGGAGGAGGAGGAGGACCCGATCCGGTCTTCCTCCCAGCGGTTCCGCAAGACAGCTGGGGAGAACGCACGTCCCGCGCACCGCGCCAGCGCTCGGGCCGTGTCACGCCTCGCCTCCGGATCGCTTGACCCAACCTTGCGACGGGGGGACAGAGAGACAGAGAGAGAGAGAGAGAGAGACAGAAGGAGAGAGAGGGAGAGAGGGAGAGAGAGAGAGAGGGAGGCAGAAGTAGAGAGAGGGAGAGAGGGAGAGAGGCAGAGACGCGGCGCCCGCGCAGTGCCGGCCCTGCGGCCCCGCGCGGAGCAGGGCGGCGGGCCGTGGGCCAGGCGGCGGCGGCGGGTAGCCTGCTCCCTCTTCCTCCCCCTCCTTCCTCATTTGTGCATGTGCTTTGATGGATTCATGGTGGAACTGCGAGAGAGAGAGAGAGAGAGAGACATAAGTAGAGGGATGGAGAGGGAGAGAGACAGAGAGAGAGAGAGACAGAGAGAGGAGTAGAGAGAGGGAGAGAGGGGTGATGATACGACGATTGATCATAGTACTGATAACGAAGATGGTGCTAATGATATTGATAATGGCAATGCTACAAATGCAAATATCAGAACCAGGATGATGTGAATACTAATACGGATAAGCAATACGATGCATACTGAAAATGACGATGATGCTGATGCTGATGATCATGATGGTGAATCTGATGATGATGATGGCGATGATGATTATTGTGGGCGGTGGCGATGATGATGGTGATGTTGATTGTAATGCAGATGGTTATGATGATGCTGATTATTTCAATGGTGATGCTGATGACGATGCTAATGACGATGATGATGGTGATGATGGTGATGGTGATCGTCATCATGATCATGAGCATGCTCATGAGCATGGTCATGATGATGACGACCATGGGGCTGATGCGGATGCTGCTGTTGATGCGGATGCCGATGCTGATGGTGGTGGTGATTGTGACAGTGATGGTGACGGTGATGGTGATGGTGATGATGATGCTGATGAGGACGATGATGAGGATGAGGATGAGGACGACTATGAAGATGACGACTATCATTATGCTGATCATGATGTTGCCGAGGATGCGGATGATGCTGAGGGAACTGGTGGTGATGCTGATGTTGATGATGATGAGGATTATGAGGGTCATCGTGCTGATGATGACGACAATGACGATGACGATGGTGATGGTGATGGTGACGATGATGATGATGATGATGGTGAGGATGATGATGATGGCCATGCTGATGAGGCTGATGATCATGATGGTGGTGATGATGATGACGAGGAGGAGGAAGATGGCGGATGGATGATGGATGATGGATCATGGATGATGATGCTTACGATGGTGATGATGATGATGATGATGATGATGATGATGATGGTGATGATGCTGTGGAGGAGGAGGGGAAAGAGGAGGAGGAGGAGGAGGAATAATAGGGGGAGGCGGAGTACGAGAGTAAGCCCAGGACGCACCAGCGGTGCTACAGTATTCCCTCCCGTCTCAAGTTCCCTTGAAAGCCCAGCCCCCCATGGACCTGCCATTCAGGCGAGATCCCCGCTTGAGCAGCACATGCCCTGCACCCGTCTACGTAAGGTGTAAACCAGAAGTGTGAAAAAGGTATGGACATACACCTCAGCGAAGTGCCAAGCGAGGTCCCCGTTTTAGATCGGACTGCCCCCGTTCATGTATCTCGCGCACAAATCCTCCTCATGCCCATAAGCGTCGAGGGTTTTTCAAGCGATAACCCCATTTTTTACAAAAAAAAAGAAAGTATCGCCCTCCATCCGTGCAGCTGCTAGATCTGTTGAAGTTCCTGGCTGTTTTAATTACGGTAGTCCCCCCTCTGATAGTCCTCTTTTTGAACAGGAGCCGTCCTCCATCTTTGCGGCGGCTGCAAACATACGCGACAAATCTGATCGGCGCTGCGACGAAACCGCCGTTTTGAAAAAACACCGCCCTCCATCTTTGAAGCCGACGCAGGCTGTTGCAACGAATGCGCGCGGCGCTCAGGCGAGTGCCATACTTTGAAGACGGCCGGTGCTCCATCTCTTTCACTGTTGTAAGCCCGAGGAACATGACTGGTGAGGAGTTTTCAGGCGATACGCCTGGCCCACCTTACCCATACTTCTGGGGGCGTGACAAGGGGGAAAATATCCAGAAGGAGAAGGGATGGGGGAGGACGGATGAGGGGGAGGACGGAGGAGGAGGACTGAGGAAGAGGACGGAGGAGGAGGACGACGCGCGAGGACGGGCAAAGGACGGACGGACAAGGAAAGAGGGAGGAGGAGGAGGACGACGACGACGAGCATGAAGAGGACGACAGAGATGGGGAGGAAGAGGAAGAGGAGACGGAGGAGGAGGAGGAGGAGGAGGAGGAAGAGGAGGCGGAGCCCCGTGGGCATGGGGGGCCGCACCACGCGCGCCGCTTGCCCTCAGAAGCACTACCCGGGCGACCTCATTTTCCCCGCGGGAGAGTACCTTGCATCCTCTCGTTCCGTTTTTGTTGTTGTCTCTCTCTCTCTCTCTTTCTCTCCTTGCGTCGTTTTGCGCCGCTTGATAAACACGAGGTGATATTGCGCCACCGAATCGCCTCGCCTAAGTTTCGCACGGATGCCACAACGAACGGAAGATATTATGTAACCATGTTGACATTGTGATTGAGACCGAACGGCGTGCGACGGCCAGTCAAGATCCAGGGTTTCTGCCTTCTTGGCACGCTCAGCCGCTTTTCGTACTTCTCGGAATCAGAAAATACAGCGCGCATTACGACTGAAACAGAACGTGCACGCGCAGGGGGGGAGGAGGGCGGAAAAGAAGAAGACAGCGAATTACAAGCGTGATGCCGAATCCGATGAATTGAGGAGGAGGAGGAGGAGGAGGAGGAGGAGGAGGAGGAGGAGGAGGAGGAGGAGGAGGAGGAGGAGGAGGTTGGGGTGTTGACATATCCATGCCCACCGCCCGGAGAACCGACGTCCTGGGGCCCCAGCGGGCGGTGGATGTGGCTGCATGGGTGGCCCCCGTGGCCTCGAACATACCCAGATCGGCCGCCTCTGGGAGGTCAGGGACAGTCGATCCTCCAGGCGTTTTTTCATGTTTTTGTTTGTGTTTGTTGTTGTTGTTGTTGTTGTTGTTGTTGTTGTTGTTGTTCTTATAATATTTCTTATTCGTATGTACTCATTATGTGTTATTCATTTATTTATTATTACCATGATGATTATTATTATTAGTATTATTATTAGTATTATTTTCATTATTATTATTATTATTATTATCATTATCATTATTATTACTATTATTATTGGCATTAGCATTCGTAGTATTATTGTGATTGTTATTAGTATTACTATTATTAGTACCATTATTAGTATCATCATTATTATTATCATTATTATTTGTGATATATATATATATATATATAAGTAAAAGAAGCCCCGCCTCGAAATCTCCTCCACCTCCTCCTCCTTTTGTCTCCCTTCCTCACCCTTCCACGTCGCGTGCCCCTCCGTTCCCTCCTCCGCCTTCCCTCTCCAGCCCCATCTCCCCCGAGCGTGGCTCCCAGAGGAGGAAGAATCTGGGAAGGCTGCATCCTTGTCGCCATGGCTAGATTCGTCGCTACTTCGTCCCTCCTCCTCCTCCTCCTCCTCCTCCTCCTCCTCCTCCTCCTCCTCCTCCTCCTCCCCTTCCTCGTTGAACGCCTCATCCAACTCAGACGTTTTGTCCCAAATGGTAGGATATACGAAATGGCCCTGAAGTTTCGAGCAGAACTGGAAGCCGAGTTACAGAGAAACGCCCTGGGGAAAGGCCTGCTTGGCAACATCCAGCCTACCCAACCCAGTCAGTCGAAGGCGTCATCTACAATGGCGATACGATGCGTTTCTGCCTCCCTCTTTCCATTGCATATACGGTGAAGTGGTGAGCAGGGTACCTTGCATGCAGTACAGCATACGCACCATGTAAGACGAGTCGCGGTCAATGTGGGGAGACGGGTGCGGAGTACGAGGTACAACGACGTTACAAGGCAGTTGGGAACTCGGTGCGACCTCAGTGGGGGGGATGGGACCAGCATATCGAAAATACTACGGGCATAACGGGGCAGTTGGGCTGCTGAGAATTCGTCACTGCCTCCATCGAACCCCCGGTTGCCGCAGCTGATATGGCTCAACGCTGGCCTAGGCGAGCAGTGTGGCGCACTAGCGAGGTTTCTTGGGGTGTGTTGCACGTGTGGGCCATGGCCTACACGGCCAGCAGCCAACTATGGCCCTGCGGGCGTTGCAACAAGGGGGCCCAGTATTACAATATGTTCGAACGCCGCAGAGAGCACGCGAGAAACGAGCCAGGTCACGAAACGGATCAAGGCGGCAAAGGCAGCGACTGGGAAAGAGCGCGCGTCGAGTACGCGCTGGAGCTGAAGGGGTAGGAGCGGGAAGACTGGCACGACGGAGAAAGGACACTGCATGAATAAGGAAACTACATTACGAGAGAGCAGGTCTGCCGATGACAAAAGAGGAAGGCGAATCGATGGGCACTAGGACATATTCAAGCAGTTCAGGTACGAACTGGCAGAAGAAGGGGGCCCACAGCAAAAGCTTCGCACACACAAAGAAACACGATCGCCATAGAAAAACCAAAAGGAGATAGCAAACACGCTGCTGGATCATATAAATTTGTAGGGAGGAATCTTTTCAGCCTTCAACAGAGCAGGAGAGAGAATGACGGAGGTTCTTCGCTGCGCAGAGGAATATGGCATCCTGCTCAACAAGCACATGGCCATGGGCGTCAATTGCGAGGATGCGTTGAAGGCGGCGAAACAAGAGTTGGAATACAACTATCCCGGCAAAGCAACCTAACAGCGATGTGTAGAAGTATATCTGGAAGCATTGCTTTGAGTTTCATGTAGGAGTCCTGTTGTAGAGTTCTGGTGTAATCGCAGTCGCAGTCGCAATCGCAATGGCAGTTGCAGCGGCAACGGCAGTCGCAGTCGCAGTCGCAGCCTCAGCCTCAGCCTGCCTCAGCCTCAGCCTGCCTCAGCCTCAGCCTCAGCCTGCCTCAGCCTCAGCCTCCGCCTAGTAGTAGTAGTAGTAGTAGTAGTAGTAGTAGTAGTAGTAGTAGTAGTAGTAGTAGTAGTAGTAGTAGTAGTAGTAGTAGTAGTAGTAGTAGTAGTAGTAGTAGTAGTAGTAGTAGTAGTAGTAGTAGTAGTAGTAGTAGTAGTAGTAGTAGTAGTAGTAGTAGTAGTAGTAGTAGTAGTAGTAGTAGTAGTAGTAGTAGTAGTAGTAGTAGTAGTAGTAGTAGTAGTAGTAGTAGTAGTAGTAGTAGTAGTAGTCGTAGTAGTAGTAGTAGTAGTAGTAGTAGTAGTAGTAGTAGTAGTAGTAGTAGTAGTAGTAGTAGTAGTAGTAGTATAGTAGTACGTAGTACTAGTAGTCGTAGTCGTAGTAGTAGTAGTAGTAGTAGTAGTAGTAGTAGTAGTAGTAGTAGTAGTAGTAGTAGTAGTAGTCGTAGTAGTAGTAGTAGTAGTAGTAGTAGTAGTAGTAGTAGTAGTAGTAGTAGTAGTAGTAGTAGTAGTAGTAGTAGTAGTAGTAGTAGTCGTAGTCGTAGTCGTAGTCGTAGTCGTAGTCGTAGTCGTAGTCGTAGTCGTAGTCGTAGTCGTAGTCGTAGTCGTAGTCGTAGTCGTAGTCGTAGTCGTAGTCGTAGTCGTAGTCGTAGTCGTAGTCGTAGTAGTCGTAGTCGTAGTCGTAGTCGTAGTCGTAGTCGTAGTCGTAGTCGTAGTCGTAGTCGTAGTAGTAGTAGTAGTAGTAGTAGTAGTAGTAGTAGTAGTAGTAGTGGTAGTGGTGGTGGTGGTGGTGGTGGTGGTGGTAGTAGTAGTAGTAGTAGTAGTAGTAGTAGTAGCACCAGTAGTAGCATGCAGGCGCTGCAAGGCGTGTGTGTATCCTTGTTTTCATCGCTCTGCATTTTGCGCCTAATGCGTTGGTCTGTACCATCGTTTGCACAGCAGCAAAACAGCATGCAGGATGCAGACCGAGGCGCCTCGTATCTCACTACCCACGGCTACACACGAGTGCAGGTCGAGAAGCACCACGCAAGTGCAGGCTGAGAAGCACCACGTCTCACCTGATCCCGTAACAACAGCCATGGCGTAGCTGCCACAGGGGCCGCAGACAGCAACGGCTCTGTCACCCAATTGGCGTCGCTGTAAATCCTGAAGCGCGTCTTTGTCCATGGGCCCGTGTATCGCGCCTTGCGAGGCACCAATGTGCTGCGCGTGTTGTTGCCGTAGCAGAAGACGGCCTCTGGGGCCCAGTGCGGAGTCCAGCGGGCAACGTACGCCCTGTGGACGCCATCCCGGATGACGTCGCGCGCGCCCTCGATCTGCGCCACCCATCGAAGCCAGTCAAAGGCTGAGCCATCGGCGATGTCAATAGCACCTGGGGCAGTTCCGCCATGGTGGTAGTGCAACAGCGTTTGGGGAGCGGCGCTCGCTCGCTTCGTCGCGGCCCACAGTCTGGCGTGAGCGGGCGGCCTCTTGCAGGTGCCCCAGTGTGAAAAGCAGTGGAGCATCGCCGCCAGGCGCGGCAGGCTGAGCAGCGCCGCCGCCACGCACATCAGGCTGAGTAGCGGGAGCGCTAGGCACCGCAGGCTGAGCAGCGCCGCGCGGTGGACCGATATAGGTGGGCTCATCGGGTCGGCCGCGCACGTGGTAATGCAAGCGCATGGCTGAGCCGTCCGCGCGAAGGAACTCGAAGAAATGCCTGCCGTGGCCATCCGTGTTGGAGTAGTTTGGGTCGTGCTCGGTCTTGATGATGCGAAAGACAACGCGGACGATGCCCCGGCCGATGATGCGGGCAGCGAGACACGGATCGGCGGACCGAAGCAGTTGCTTCCAGTCGTACAACGGGTCGTTTGTCACGTCTGTGAAGGACACGTCGTTGGCAATGCACTGTGTGCGCAGCGTGCGCTGCCACTGGCAGGCGGTCTTGCCACCCATGCCTGGTGCACGGGGGACCTCTTCAAGGTGCGCCCGCTCAAATACCACGTCGAAGCCAGGCTGAGGAGGCCGCCGCTGCCTCAGCCTCAACCTCGGCTTCAGCCTCAGCCTGCATCAGCCTCAGCCGTAGCCTCAGCCTCAACCTCAGCCTCAGCCTCAGCCTCAGCTTGAGCCTGCCTCAGCCTCAGCCTCAGCCTGCCTCGGCCTGCCTCAGCCTCAGCCTCAGTCTCAGCCTCAGCGGTGGATTCCCCATAGTCGCTGGCGGCGCTGGGGGCCGCAGCATCAGCCTCAGCGGTGGATTCCCCATAGCCGCTGGCGGCGCTGGGGGCTCAGCCTCAGCCTCAGTGGTGCGTTCCCAATAGTCACTGGCGGCGCTGGGGGCCTCAGCTTCAGCCTCAGTGGTGCATTCCCCATAGTCGCTGGCGGCGCTGGGGGCCTCTGCCTCAGCCTCACCCTCAGCGGCGCGTTCCCCATAGTCACTGGCGGATCCGCGGA